TATATATATATATATATATATATATATATATATATATAACATCCAGAAAATTCATAAAAATTTTAAACTGTTTTCAAACATCCAAAAACCACCCTTTATTATAAATTGTTTTCAAAATAGTTTGACATCAAAGTAATCCCAAAAATCATAACATGAAATATGAGGATGTGACAACCTGAAAAACCCCAGAGCAAACTAAGTCAAAGCTTCACCCATGTATCAGTAGATTCACAACGCACTTGATGCAATGGAACATTAAAAACCAAGAGAGAGCATACTTATACAAGTTTATATGTATATACACTTTGAAAGCCAAGTTATAATGAACCTTTGAAAGAATAATGAAGGAAACAAGCCTTAAGGAGTCAAAAGGAATCAACACAAGTCCAAGTAATAAGTTTAAAAGTTTGTTGGTGTATAACACTTAAGAATTTAGATTTTTAGAAGCCTTGGAAACCTAAGGACCGAAAACACATCTTAAGGCCCATTAAAGATTCGAAAACAAGTACTTTGAAGAGTTTACATACGAAAACACCCTTTCTAGAAGGCATAAATCCGAAAACACCCTTTCTATAAGGCATAAATCCGAAAACCCTTTTCACTTTGACCTTAAATCCAAAAACTCTTGTCCTTTTTGACTTTAGGAACGAAAACCCTTTTCTCTAGGCCCATTAAGGGCGACAACTCGTTACTAGAACATGCTTAATCCGAAAACTCCCTTTATATATATAATTCATCCAAAAACTCCCTAAATATCTTGATATCTTATCTTCATTTGACTTACCAAGGAGATAATTCCAGTAACCAACGTAAACATCACCTCAACCCCTTATTCTTTCCTTCCTATTTAAGTTACCAAATAGAGATCATTTCTATTTTACAATCTAGTAAACGAATTCACTCCATATTCTCTCTCAAATATCAAAATCTCTTTCATTCATCTCTTAAGATAAAGAAACTCCATAGACCATTCTTGTAACGACCCAAATTTCGAGACTACAAATTTCTTTTATAAAACATTACTTAAAACGTAATTATCAATCCATATCATAACCAGAGTATTAATTTCCAAAACACGTGTTCATTATCAGAGTAAAACATGCCCAGGCTGCCTAATCTGTGGTGTGTGCCATGCGATCACCCCGAGCTCTTCCCTCCGCTACCGGAAGTACCTGAAACCAAAACTGAAAATCGTAAGCACGAAGCTTAGTGAGTTCCCACCCTACCACATACCATGCATAACCACATACTGCACATACTGGGCCATGCCCGCTGTTTTGGGCCTCGCCCCTACCTCGGGCCTTGCCCGCTACAACGGCCCGCCGTTCCAAGCCCAGCCTGGCTTCGTGCCCCGCTCGGATACAAATCTATCTAACTTAGGCCTCGCCTGTCACTGGGCCTCGCCCGCTAACATATAATAGCACATAAGCATATAACAACACATAAGCTAACATATATTCACAAATCTTGTCCTGAGGCCTCGCCTGTATTAGGCCTCGCCCTTGTCCTGCTATTGATGAGTCATGGAACCCCGTCCACGCCCTTACTGATAGTGAGATACAAGCCCAACCCACACTCACTCTTTCCCTAACTTGGGTCTCGCCCATGTTCTGCTGCTAATGAGATGTGGAACACCATCCACACTCTGCTATTGGTGAGATACGGGACCTCGCCCACACTCATCTCCCTACCAGGCACATACATGTATCACACAGACAACAAGTATAAACTAACATATAAACCATTCATTGGGCACCCGCCCGCTATCATTGGACCTCGTCCTGAGTATCATACTAGCATATTGTGCCTAAGGCTAACCCCCGGGTCTTCCTACTTCTATCTACATGGGCCGATATTGTGGCCTTAGACCTATTCACACAAAGGGAAACTCACCTGCACTTGCTGAACTTGCTGATAACCCCTCTAGTTGCTGCCTGACAACTCTTTGAACTCCTGCTCCACTTGCTCCCCGAGCTACCATATCAATGCAACACTTAGCTTAACTGTCCCCCGAAAGTCACCAAGTCAACTCTTGTCACATTTAAGTCCTGGTCAAGGTCAACCTTACTCGCCGAGTCTGCCTGCTGACTCGCCGAGTTCACCGATTTCCGAGTCCTGACCTGTCCAACTCACTGAGTCCCCACTCAACTCACTGATCCGAGTCTTAACTCGAAAGGGTTTGGGGTTTCGCGACTTGACTCACCGAGTCCAAGGCAATCTTCAACAGACTCGTCGAGTTTTTCTTCCAACTCGCCGAGTCCACCCATGTGACTCGTCGAGTTGCACCAGTTCTTAATCCATACAGTGCTTTTCGAGCCATGCAAGGGCTCCAACTCATAGATCCATACTCCCAAAGCTCAATCCTCACGTAAAGTTGCAAACTTTACGTATAACTAAAGAGATCAAGGCTTAAAACACTTTAGGGCTAGGTTTAGGGACAAAAAGGCTTCACCAACTACTCATCTTCTAATGCTTTATGACATATTGGACCATCCCAACACTAGATCTGAAGTGGCAACGACATATCTAGACCCCAAACTCGAATTGGGTCTCAAACAACCATAAAACCCCTAAATCTCATAACAAAAGCAGATCTAGATGCAAAGGAGGGAAGATAGCAGCTTATTACCTCCAAGATGAACACCAACTGAAGTAGATCCCGAATCTTTACCTCCCCTTTGAAGCAACCTTCTTGATCTTCAAGTTCATTTCCAAAGTTTCCTTCCTCCAAAGCTATTTCTCTCAAATGATGGAAGCTCACACGAAATCTAGGGTTTACAGGTTCTCTAGGATGATAAGGAGGCTGAGGGAGGGACATAACACCCATTATATAGGATACAATTCTTGGGATTAGGGTTTTCCTCGTTCAGACCAGACTCGCCGAGTCCCCTTAGACGACTCGCCGAGTCGGTCACTAATTCCTGAACCTGGATCCCACTCGGACTCGCCGAGTTTCGCTCTGGACTCGGCGAGTTGACCCCTTTGACTTAGGGTTTTCTTTCCTTCTTGTCCTTACTGACTTTGGGTGTTACAATTCTCTTCATAATAGTTATAAGGTTAGTAAGTATTCTTCATTTTGGTGTTCATGCAACACATAAATTGTAGTTTTATCACTTTTCACACATATCATTATGTGTTTAAATATATTAGGGTACGACATCCTTCCCATGTTATAGCCTGAAGGTCACCGTTTTTATCTCGTTTATCAAACCACGACTAACCATAAGGTGAGTTCATACCCCCTACATTTTTATAACTTTTCCAATTTTTTTTTGGGGGGGTTGGGGGGGATACAAGTAAAACGCAAGAAACTTATGTTGATATACAATCACAGCTCCCGAAATTACTGAGCCATCAAATTCCTGACCTTGGTAAACTCGGCAAGTTGGGTCACCTCACAAGTAGCACTGACTGACAAGATCCAACTCTCAAATCACAGCTCCGAACTCAAATGTCGACAACCACCATGTGGCTAATTTCATTAAAATCCCAATTTACCAAAAATACCCTTAAAGTCAAACTTGGTCAACCTTGGTCAAATTTAGAGTCAACGGTCAAGGTCAACAGTCCACGTTGACCCAACTTGCCGAGTGCATCTACTGACTCGTCGAGTTCCTTCAGAATTCAGAAAACCACAAAAACCTGAGTCAACTCGTCGAGTCGTCAATACAACTTGTCAATTTCGTATAGTATCCAGAAGATTGAGGAAACCATGGGCCAACTCACCAAGTTGGCAGAGCAACTCGTTGATTTTTCCTTGTCTTAACTCATTCAGCCATCTCCCAAACGAGTCTAATGCTACAAACTATAGATCTGGTGTCATAGGACTGAGATACCATGTAAAGTTGCTAGCTTTACATCCATGCATGGCATTAAAGGGGCAAAAACACTCAAACACAGCTTAATAAGGGGTTTAGGGCATGAAGGAGGGCCAATACTTGATAAAGCTTGGAACTTTAGGCTCAAAGAGCCACAAAATATCCAGATCTGAAGTGGCGACTTCAAACATGCATCATTCCAAGAATGACTCCAATATGGACCAAGAATAACAATATCTTTCCACATAAGTAGATCTAAGCAATAAGAGGCCAATGTATCGACTTTATACCTCAAAATGGTTGCCACAACAGATTAAACACCAGATCTGTAGCCTTTCCCTTCAGCCAACTTCTTCAAGCTTCTTGTTCCTTCCAAAAGAGCACCAAAAATCACTCTCCAAGCTCACACACACGATGAGGGCAAAAGCACGAACTAGGGTTTTCTCTATATAAGGAGGCGATGAAGGAGGCCAACAATGAGAGCTAAGGCCTTTAAATGGGGTGCAAACCCTAAAAACTAGGGTTTTCATGTTCAACCTTCAACTCGTTAAGTTGGGGCCTTCCAACTCGTCGAGTAGACATTGAAAGATACGCAGGCATTATATACTCTACACGACGAGTTTGGAGCCTTCCAACTCGTCGAGTTGTCCTGAAAAATACATAATAAGCTTTATATATATATATATATATATATATATATATATATATATATATATATATATATATATATATATATATATATATTAACAAGGCCCCTCATGGGGGATTTGGGACGAGACTGCCCACCCCCATCCCCGCCCCCGAAATTAAAAGGGGGATTAAACTTCTCCGCACCCCCAATTTTTGTAACAAATAGAGTTAGAATGAAATATTATAGCAATGGGTATTATTTTGATTTTACACTTAAGTGATAAGTAAGTTATCTATATAGGTTGATATTAGACACTCAAAATACTCTTAAGTACAAGAAGGATAGTCCAAAGGGTGTGCAAAGTGTGTAACTATATAGACCCAAAATTTTTAAGGATCAAAATTATACTAATTTACCTATTAATATTCAAAAACTATGTAAAATGAATTTTATTTAGTTAATAAAAAAATACGATATACTTAAATGGAAAAGGTACACAGTTGCCTATTAAGCCTTTATGTATGGTGCTTTTTCGTCTTCTCCTTATATTCATGTATAAACATCCTCTTCCACCATCTTCTCTCAAAGTATACATCCTCCACCTCGATCATCTGCCCTCTGATCCGGTCACCGCCGCCAACTATCTTTGCCTCCAACTCAGTGAGAACAACCATTAGTTAAGGTTTTTTCTTATTCCAGTTTTGTGAAATCAAATTTGTGTATGATTATTAGATTTTTTGTTGAAAGTCTGGCTCTAATGGATTTTAACAACACTAAACATAGTTTTGCATTCCTTTTTTTTTTTCTTCAACCGTTGAGTTCTTATTTGCTTTGAAGTTGGTTATTACTCCCTCGGGTATTTGGATGCTCATGTATGGTGATTATTGTAATTTGCATTTACCAATTGATATTAAAAAACGATGCAAAATGCATTTTATTTAGTCAATAAAAATAGTATATACCTAAATGGAAAAAATACACACTTGCCTATTAAACCCTTATATGCTTGGTGTTTTTTCCGTCATCTCCTTATATTCACGTATAAACCTCATCCTCCACCATCGTCTCTTGAAGTACACACCCTCCACCACCATTATTTGCCCTTCGGTTTTGTCATCGTCGTCGTCCGTCTTCGCCTCCAACTTGATTAAAACTCAGTGACAACAACCATCAGGTAAGTTTTTCTCTTAAATCAATTTTGTGAAATCAAATTTGTGTATGATTACTAGATTTCTTGTTGAGAGTCTGGTTCGAATAGATTTTAATGACACTAAACATAGCTTTGTATTTCCTTTATTCTTCGGCCAATGAGTTCTTATTTGCTTGGAAGTTGCTTATTACTCTCTCAGCTATTTGGACGTTTATGTAAGGTGACTATTGTAATTTGCACCGACTTAGGGTTTGATAGAATTTTGTTTTAATTCTGATTTACCGATGCTTTATCTATAAGGCTGGAGGGAATGTTGTCATCGAAACCACACTATTTTCACTGCCACATGTGTGCCACATCACTTCTTACCACACCCAAAAGTGGTGTCACACTCTTTTTTTAATAATTTAATTAAATAAAACTTCATTTTTTATAAAAAAAAAAAAATATAATTTTTCAATACTTCAAAAAAAAAAAAAAAAAAACATTACATTGCATTACTTAGATTTATTTTATTATTTTTTTAATGGATAATTTTTTTTAAAGATAATATTTTATTAATTAAAAATAAAAATCTCATACATTGTTTAACTTTAAAAAAGACCTAAGAATTTAAAAAAGCAAATTAGAAACATAAAACCTACAACTTAAAAAAAAAAAAAAAAAAAAAAACGATTAGAAACTTGAAAAAAAAACTAGAAATTAGTCGGGATTTGCGTAATGTATTTTGTAAAAAATGATAAGTATATAAAAGGTGAGTTAAAAGAAATAATAATAATTTCAAAAGCAAGGACAGTCAAAGAACACCAACCAATCTGAATTTGTGGCAGTTTTTAACTACACTGCGGCCTAAATCGTTGTAGACCGCACCTAGAGGCGGTGTTCCATGTGGCAAAACCAATTTCGACTCCCTAGAACCTAATTCTCTAAATGTGATTCTTTAGTAAAAGTATCACTTTGATTAGGCACATCGAAACACCCCTAAAATTCATTGAAAACTTGTACAAAATATGGAAACCTGACGCGACCATTTGAACTACTAATAGAGTATTGCTAGATGTTCAATCAGAATAAGTAGATGGTTGATCATAGTTGGGGATATATCATCCTTCTTAATAAATGAATGTTTTTTTTTTGTTACATGTCAATCTCTTATGAGTTTTGATACTTATCATTTTATAAATTACAATATTACAACTTATATAGTATTTAATAAGTTTCCTTTTAAATTCAAATTTTAAATTTCAAATTTAAATAAATTTTTGTTTAAAACTTTTGTATTTATTTTTTTTTGTTTTATCCGACCCGTATAGTTAATTTCTCATTTCACTAATCCGTTTCTTAGGTCAACAGAGTGGGAACGGAGAACGGTCGCGGGGAGGTTCCCGCCCGACGAAACACCGCACCGTCGGTGCGGGAATGGGTGATGGGACGATACCCTGCGTTCTCTCTCTTGCTGTGAGTAGCTGATTTTTTTTTTTTTTTTTTTTTTTTTTTTTTTTGAGTTGCAGGTTTTAAACACAAAGGTTTTAAACACGAAGAAGATGAAAGTTTCTGGAAATAACATATTTGGCCCCTATATTTTGGTTTTATGGTAGAATACACTTAATTTTAAATTCTTTTTACAAAAATAGTTTTTGCAAATTACAAAATAGACCTTATATTTTTAATTTTCTACTAATTTAAATATTAGATTTAATGTAATTTTTAATTTAAAAATTATAAATCATAAATATCAGTTAATTTTATTTAAAAAAAAAAAATTGTGAAGGACTCATCCATTCCTTAGCTTTTAGTCTAGGGAAATGAGAGTGAGACCAAAAATGAGGGAAGTTCCGGTCTTATAACTATAACATCAAAATCTAATTATTTGCTGAGAATCTTTCGGAAGATCAAGCAGATGAATCTTTCGAGTTTGGCGCGACTCTCGTCTCTCTCAACTGTATTCGCATCAAGAACCCTCAATCGCTCCATTGCCTTCAAACCCATTTCTTGTTCTTCGTCAGTTTCCGTTCCCCATGCACCCACTTCATTAAACCCTAACCTCCCCCTATTTCTCCGACCACCCACCTTCACCGCAACCTTATCCGACCTGCAAAAATGGCAGAATTGGGCGAAAACCCTAGCGTCATCCATCGGTTCATCTTTCACAGATTCAGATAACGGCCCAGACTCCGAAATTTTACACAGAGAACTCAATTGGCTGATCGAAGATGCTCTACAAAACCCTAAACCATTACTAACTCGCAACGACTCGGAACACGACATTGTTTTGCAATTAAGAGCTGATTTGGGTGATCTTTACACTTTATGGAAGCAAAGGATTGAAAAGAGAAGGCCGTTTCAGTATATTGTAGGATGCGAGCATTGGAGGGATTTGGTTCTTAGTGTCGAAGAAGGTGTTCTGATTCCAAGGCCTGAAACAGAGTTGATGATCGATCTGGTGGATGATACGATCAAGCAGAATGTAGAGTTGAAGGAAGGTTTGTGGGTGGATTTAGGGACTGGTTCTGGCGCTATAGCTATTGGAATCGGGAGGATTTTAGGGGATTCCGGGAGAGTTATTGCAATCGATTTAAGTCCTATTGCTGTTCAAGTTGCTTCATTCAATGTGAACAGGTATAATTTACAGGTAATGTGTGTAAACATGAACCGATAATAGCATTAGATGGCGTGAACGATTGTATGTTTTGATATTCACTCGTGTGAACGATTGTCTCGTCATCTTTATCAGGATAAAATCTCTGTGAAACAAGGTTCATGGTTTGATCCATTGATTGAGTTTGAAGGAAGAGTTGCAGGTTTTGTGAGCAATCCACCATACATACCAAGTAGACACATCAATGGACTCCAAGCTGAAGTTGGTAGACATGAACCAATACTTGCATTAGATGGTGGTGAAGATGGCATGTCTGATCTTCTTCATCTCTGTAATGGCGCTGCTTTGATGCTAAAACCTGGTGGATTTTTTGCTTTTGAGGTAATGTTGTTTGACATTCATCATCAAGTTCAAAGCTTTATTTAATTAATATATCTTTAATCTTATTCGTGTTACTTGGATGTAGACAAACGGTGAAGATCAATGCTTGTTTCTTGTAGATCATATGGAAACCATTCACCATGACAGCTTCCACAATTTAAAGATCATACCAGATTTTGCTGGAATCCAGCGTTTTGTAACTGGGATTAGAATCTAGATCATGAATTATTCAAGCTTTAGTTGTAATCTGTTGAAATTATTCTTCAAAATTCTATGGTGTTTCTCTTCATTTGAGGATCTTGCATCATACATTTGGGGGGAGAAAATCCATTTTTATTATGAAAAACTCGACTCAATACATACAAAGGGAGCTGTTTTACAACCTTTCACTCCACCCAAATCTAACCAACCTATTACAAGTTTTACAACCACTAACAAACTAAATAATTAACTAGCTAATGTGACCATCGAGACATACGTGTCCATTGTTGCTTCACCTTCTTTGGTGAAAACTTAAAGGGGGTCCAATTCTTTCTACTTTTAGAAGATTCACAAAACAAACCAGAAGCAACAGCTTGTTGAAGCCACAAATCAAATTCTTCCTCTTCATCTGTCATTTGAGCATCCAAATCCCATGGATATAAGTTTGACTTGCACTTCTGACTTTTCTCCAATCCAACCATGTTTACTTGAAAAGTTGGTCTATGTGTATTTGGCCTACACGCCATTCCTTGACAAATCGCCCATTCCGACACATCAAATATCTTGCTTTGAGCACAAACAAACGCCCGTGGAATCTCCATCTGAATTTACAAAATTACATGTTAAATTTCGCAACAAAGTGACAATCTATCCGAAATTTACTCATTCAGACTGTTTGATATCATAATTAGAAGTCTCTAATTCGGTCTTATAGTCTTTGGTAATGCATGTTGAGTCAGACTGAATCTGACTCGATCAACAACTATCAAACAACCTCTTAATCACCAAAGTTCTTATTGAGTTCAATAGAGCCCATTCTAATTAGCAACTTAGTCTTTTCAAAATCTTGAAAAATTTCATACCTTTTGAGATTGATCTGACCCAAGTGAGCCTTTGTATTCAACCCATCCATCTCCATCCTTGGCTTGATGATATTGACAACAATCCTGAAACATACAAGCCTCATTAGTTTATATAAATATAAAAATAAACAAAAAAGGTTGAATCTTTAATTATCATTTTAACAACAACCCACCTGGCACCATCTTGCCTTTGACTTTGACCGATTTGTACATACCCATATATGCATTAGGTCACATTTTGTGCAATGTATGCGTCTTGATTCATCAGAAAAGTAATCACTCGTCTCTTGATGAGATGAACTAGCAGATTTGTGAAACAAAGTTTTTGAATCTTGGTTTCTCAAGTGATCATCATAGTCCCTTTTCTTTATAGAATCAGAAAGAATCTGAAAATTGGTGTGATTATGAGTTCAAGATCTTTATATATATATATATATATATATATATATATATATATATATATATATATATATATATATATATATATATATATATATATATATATATTATATAAAATTAGAAGATATACTGATATACTTGCCTCATATGCACATTGAACTTTCTTAAAGGATTCACTTGCCAATGGGTTTCCCATGTTTTTATCAGGGTGCACTAGCATGGCCTATAAGGGGTCAAAACGAAAGTCAATTGACCAATAAAAAAAAAGAACCAAAAATTATATTGAATATTGCATAACCTTTTTCTTGTATTCTTTCTTCAACAAGATAGCATCAATCTTATCATATCGAGTGAACCCTAGTGTTTCATAGTGATCCACACAGCTTATAATTCTTTCCATTTCATTGACTTCATTTTCATGGGTTTTGACCACGGGAATGGAGATGCTTGACTTCGACTCTTTCTTCTCTTTGTTCATAAAAGTTGGCTTATTGCTTGAAGATTTACACGAGTTGACCTGTTCATGTTCATCTTCCTCACCATTAACACAGAACTTGCTCTCTGTAATGTCATCTTCAAGAAACGACTCTGGAACTTTTGGTTCTTCAAACTGTGTCGTTTCACTCTTTTCACTCAAATCATCACACCATTGGAGCATAAATGTCAATGCATCACATGATAGGAAAGCAAGATTAATCGATATCAAAACTCCAGACCACCCAACTTGATGTTTTACATAGTAGAGTGCGTATACCATTGCCACTAAAACCACAAATCTTGTGTGGTTTAGAGAAAACAAGAAACCTCCAAAAATTAACAAAGAGCCAGCGATCCAAAAGTTAGCATACATCCGTAGGATTAGAATGGTGAAAAGTCCCACCATTAATAGACCAGGAGTGTAACCTAGATAACGAACAGCACAGATAGCAGTTACCTGGAGAAAAACGATTAGCGACTTTCAGGGCAATGAACGAAGAATTTGAAGTTTTGTAAGGGAAAGTTCGTAATCTTACCATACTCAGAAGCAGATATAAGAGGCACGACATTGATGTCAAACTAAGAAAACAACTCCATATAATGATGAACAGAGCCGCTGTGCCCAAATCGAAAACCGATTTACATCCGCGAAGAAGACAATCCTTCCACTGAATCATCGAGAAACGCAATAGGTTACCCAGTCTTCCAAACGCATAACAAACATTAGGCCAATGCCGTCTGATAAATCCACTGAAACCAGAAGCTGTCTTCTTCGCAGCAACAGAGCACCAAAGGCTCTCCAATAGCAGCCACTTCCAGTCTTCATTGAAAACCCCAAATTTCTCCATTGATACCCAGTGATTTTGATCAATAATTTTGATTAGAACACATATTACAGAAAGATTGTTGCCCTATCCGTGTGGGCGCTCATGTAATTTGGTTAGATTTGACGAAAAGGGATTAGTGCTGTAGCTCGTGAAGAACACTAATTTGCTTCACATGTACGTTTTCCAAAAGAGAAAACGCACACTCTCTATGACTGTTGCTTGCACTTTTGACATAGCTAATGATGAAAAAGAATGGCTTGCTGTTCTTTTTTTTTTTTGACGCAGACAGGTAACTGGTTATTACAGTGGTCGGATCTTGATAAAGTGAAATCGAATAATGCAGATTATGGTAAGTAGTAAGTACACAATGTGATTGTGGATATGAATCAGAAGAAGGGAACAAGAGAAAGATGCTTATGGGTCTACGGAGGAAGAAAGGGGAGCAGCGTCTTTAATGGATACGTATCTTTATTACAGTGGCGGAACCCTAGCTCTCGTTGTTTCTTTTCCGGTGGAAAAGAAGGGGAAAAAAACCGTAGTGGTCTAGCGCTTTGAGTTTGAGCTAATTCGAGGAGAGGCTTGGATATTTTGAACTTCCACGTGTAATTCGTGGAAAATATTCTGTCTAAATAACTTCAATCTTATAATAATAAAATTTAGCTTTCATTAGTATATGTATAAGTTATATAATCTTTCGTATAAAGTTGGAAGATCTATGTGTCGTAAATTTTTTTGTATATAAATATATATTTTTGTTAAATACCAGGGTGCTGTTTTTTTTTTTTTTTTTTTTGGCCAAAATTTCTGCAGATCGCGGACCATATCTATAGACATGTGCAGTAGAAAAGAAGATCAAACAGTCTGAAAAAAAAAACTTTTATTTTTTTAACATCTGCAGACTATTAAAATAAAGTAATTTTTTTAACTTCAAAGTGATTTGTTTAATAATTTTATGACTTTTTTTTTATATAAATAGTTAACAAATCTAGATCAATTTTTATGTATTGTTGTATAAAAAGTGAAAATAAAATGGTACGAATTAACGTATATATTTTATAAAAGCTAACAATTTTGGTTGCAAAGTTATATATAAACATTGGAATTAAAAATTAAAGAATTTGACATATAAATGGATGAAAATAAACTTCGATTTTTCAATTAAATCAATTAAAAACATATTATAAATGTTTTTCCAAGAAATTGATGATATTGTATTAAATTATGTTTAATAAAATTGGCACACAAAATATAAGAATATATTATGATTTTTTTTCATATTAATATAAACAATTTCAACGATCATTATTATAATACATCTTTATTTATAAATTTATCAAAAATGTTATATTTGTATCGTCGAACTTTTTTTTAAAAGTATTGTAACTTTTTTTTTTCAAATTCTTTATCGTTAATAAAGTTGGAATAAATATAAATTAAAAAAAAAAAAAACTAAACAAAATAAAGATATATGTGGTTTTTTCGACTAGAAAATGTCTGAAGATGTTAGAAGACTCGGATTCACATCTGCGTCAAGAAGATCGCACGCAAACATTTGTAGGTCTGCAGTCTTCAAAAAAACAAATAGCATGTGAAGGCTAATGTATGCGTGTGGTCTGCATGGCGTAGACAGAAGAGCCCAAGAAGATCTGCAGACAAAAAACAAACAACACCCAAGAAAACGTATGTTGCATAAATTTGTTAACTAAATGAAAGATCAAAGATGTCAATACTATCATATATTAAATTTGGGAAAATTGTTTCGACTTTACCCTTTTAGTCCCTAAAGTTTTTTAAGAGAACAAACTATTTTTTATCGGGACGATTTGGTCACTTTTGACAAAATGAAGAGGTAACTCAGTTACCCCTTTGCTACATAGACATTTAACTAATTTCGAAGGAGGTGCCAAAGTAGTACAAGTCAGAAAGTTGAGGTTATATTTAATTAAAATGTAATTAATTTTTACAATATATCTTCTTCATTCGTAAATCGTATTTGCAGATTGCTTGAACGAAATTGGAGACCGACTTCCTGATCTCGAATGAATGAAACAAAATTGGAAAGGGAGACAATACCCTTAAGCGAGAGTGGTGGTTGGTCGGAGGGGGTCGACGAAAGCAGCAACCGGTGGTGGCGATGGTTCATAGCAGCGACGACGTGGTGGTAGGGGCTACTCTGGCAGCTTCTATTGGTTCGTTTTCGGTGAGCTCGACATGAAAGGGAAAGGATGGACAAGCAATTGGTCTAAATCAAAGCAAACAACAACAACAACAAGTGGTTGTAGGCGGAGGTTGGCACCTGGGTTTTACTCCGATCAACAGGGAAAAAAAGAGAATGGAAAGGGTGGTGCCTCTCGGTGGTGAAGGAAAACGGGACTATAGGTGGCTGAGAAAAGAGCTCCGACAACAACAATTATGGTGGGTGTTGGTGATTTCTGATGGGGAACAAGATGGTGGCAATGGTGGTTCTATGGTGGAACAAATCCAAGAAAGAGAGGAAAGTTGTGGTAGTGGTGTTTTTACATGTTTTATTAATCTAAGTAGTGGGGGAATATAAGATGGAGTTTATGGTGGATGGGTTCAGAAGGAAGAAACAAGTTTTTTACACATTTTCGTGT